ATATATTAAACCAAAAAAAGTGAGATTTATTTATTGAATAAAATAACCACTGATTACAATAAAATGCACATACATACTACATTTTATGTTAAACAAACAGTCAGTCAAGTCTCTGATTTGTGTCTAATAAGTCTTTAGCCACACATAGCATAACACAGTAGAAGTTCTGGTTCATTTCAAGTCAGATATGATCAAATATATTTAACTTGTTAGAATTCAACTGAGTTTTGATTCACTAAAAAGAACTGGTTCAGAAGAGTCATTTGTGCGGGAATCGGACTACACTGTTCGTCCTGAATGTTGAGTCACCAAAAAGAACTGGCTAATAAAAGCATTGCTGTGCTGTTGTTATTAGCTATATTAGCAAGCCTATATAGTAATTTACACTTTATTGATTCAATTTGCTGTTCGACAAACAATGGTTTAATATTTTATTACATTATTAAGCCTACATTTAATAGCCAACTTTTACATTTATTTACCTTATGATCCACATTTTTGCTGTACAAGTTGCACATTAGAATCAGTCACTGAACAAATAATAGTTGTTAAATACTAATCTGAATAGCCTACTGCAAATACTAGCCTACACATTTCACTGTTTTGAGAATGACCCTCTGCTTAATTAAAATATTATATAGCCTATTTAATAAATAATTGTAAACATAATTTTCTGCAAACATTTATCATATTACAGAATGTTTCTGCATATATAAAATTAAATGAATAGGCCTATATGTGAAATGTATGGAAGCCCGTTTCCGCCACTGAATAAAAACTAAAAAAAGATTATTGTGACTTTTTATCTTACAATTCTGACTTATGTGAGATATAAACTCGCAATTGCGAGTTATAAAGTCAGAATTGCGAGATATAGTCACAATCGCAAGATAAGAACTCGCAGTTCTGACTTTATAACACGCAATTACGAATGATAAAGTCAGTGTAAACTCGCAAGTTAAACTCGAGACTGTTGTGTTCTCAGAATTGTGAGATATACATTTTATACCTTAAAAAGTCATAATTGTGAGAAATGAACTCGCAATTGCGAGAGAAAAAGTCATAATTGCGAGATATAAACTCGAATTTGCGAGAGAAAAAAAGTCCGAATTGTGAGTTTATATCTCGCAATCAGGCCCGGATTGGCTAATCGGGAGCACCGGGGAAATTCCCGGTGGGCCGGTCTGTTTTTTGGGCGCGAGGGCCGGTACTGTCATGCCACTGCTATGGGGTTGAAATATGAACGCCTGTATTTTAAGACATCAAAGAAGCATCCCGTATGAAAGCTAGACTCGCTCTTAGGTCCGAGATTTGATTTTGGCAAATCAGTTTGGGCTAATGCAATTTATTGATCATGAGCCCAAAATTTAGCAAGGCAGGAAAACATTTAATCTACCTGAGGGGAGACGTCTTTCACTATTGCAAATTAAGGCTGTTAAATAGAGAGGAAAATACATTGAAATTATTATACGCATTCTTATACTTGGACCTCATTTAATTGAAGTAGAAATCCAAGCACCAGAAGCAGCCCACACTCAGCCCACAAGTTTTCTTTAATTGATATATGGCTATATGGTTGCAATAATAGCCATTTTAGTTCAAAAAGTTTAAGTGCATAGACGTTTCATAGACGTTCAGTTGTTATGCTTTCAAATGTCTTGCCATTTGTATGTATGTAATTTCACAGTATTTTCACCTCCTAAATTACTACACTACTTGTGCAGTCACGATTTTATAATGGTACAATTTACTAGGCCTTTTTAGGCCGATGACTTTTTTTTTATATGACATTAAAATTATTTTTAGAATATAGGTTAAGCAAAACAAATGTGATTATTTCTGAGAACTTTTTAACTGCAGGCAGACGTTATGGTACAGTAGGCAGATATGCGAGCAAAAAATAATAGATTAAAAAATGGAGCCTATAATAGAAAGCACTAAAGTGGGCCACTCTGGCATGAAACTCCAGGGCTGAAAATGACTCCCACTCCGGCCCTGCTTGCAGTTCTGACTTTATTTCTCTATGTCTCGCAATTGCGAGTTTATATCACACAATTCTGAGAAAAAAAAAGTCAGAATTGCGAATTTGTATCACGCAATTATGAGAAAAAAAGTCAGAATTGTGAGATAAAAAGTCGCAATTACCTTTTTTATTTTTTATTCAGTGACGGAAACGGGCTTCCATGACAAATAGCAATATGAATAAAAAAATCACTTTAGCTGATGTCTGAGAAAAAGTGTTTGTGATATATAAAGTTTTTTTCCTAACGTGTAATGTCTTAAATATAATACAAAATCATATAAAAAAAATATCATAAGAATGAGATCATCTTTTGCTTTGCAGACAAGTTTCAACCTCTTCAGTGTTTTTCCCAGTCTCCCTCTTTCATCTCTATTTCATTTTCTTTTTCTCACATGCACATGATTCTCTCACACACTGGCGTAATAGATAAACAAAAACAAAAAACATCCATGCAGCAAAATTCTATATAGATGGCTTTAATGCACATACATGTATGTTTCAGTTTTTAACAACAAAACTCCAAACTATTTTTTACACACATTCAATGAATTTAAGTTTCAATTACTGATATGAAGTTGATAAAGGTGCATTAGGTAGTTCATCTCTGTAATTCCCAGGATGTCCATGGCCTTCCTGTAACCCAGGTCGTATCATACCCATGCAACTCAGATGCATAGCTTGGTTACAATACAACCCCGGGTCAATGGATGGCTTTTGACTTTTGTGAATTAGATCATTCAACACAGTGTACAAAATATCTGACACAAACAAAAGTGCATTCTTATTTCAAAATTTACAAAGCAGCACATTTGAATTAATCAAGAACTTCAAGGGAAAAAATATACAATATACTCTATATACTGTAAATTAATTGTCAAACATGCCAGTTATTAATATACTGTTAAATTTGTGTATGAATGGAATATGTTAACATAATCCATTGTACATCTAAACAGAAAACATATTTCAACCAGAGAGTTCAAATTAAAGACCTACAAACAACCAATTATACAGAACTGCAAAATTTGATTTCTATGTCTATGGAAACAAAGAACAAAGAGGCATTATAGCATTAGCAATAAACTAATTATCAGGTCATGATGAATCATTATTAACCAAATTCACACTGTAATAAGTTTCTAACCTATAAAACAATACTTACCTGCCGAAACCAAAGAAAAGAAATGAGAGGGAGGGGAAGGAAAGATTCTCTAAGGAGAAACGAAGAAGTTTTATACACGAAATGAGGTGTATAAAAAGAGGGCGGATGTATAGGATTTACAGTTTAACACTCTTGATCTCTCTCCAGATTATTAAAATTGACCCACAATCTAAGTCTTAGCTAACAAGATAAACTGGCAGTTTGCACGTAATCCCTCTGTGACATCAATATGGTTTGTGGGGATTTTTAGCGATTGGTTTAGGTAAATCTTGTTTCCAGATTATGGCTTATCCTTGTGCTTGGGGGCCTTAAGAGTTTGGTTTGCCTTTCACCTGCTTATACTGCTGCTCATGAAATGGAAGCCAAGATTTAACAAACTTGATTGACCCAAAAAACTAGGCCAATACTTTAGGTTAGTTGGTATATTGTGTTTCCATGTTTTTTAGGAAAGGGTTTTAGTTTCTCAGTACAGAGATACTTCAGTGTTAGACTTTAGAAGTTTCAAAACCTTTCAAAGCAAAGTTTCTTTAACGCATTAGCCAATTCAGAAATATACAGTACTGATAATTTTCACATTTCAGACCAAAAATCTGCAGGATCAAGCCAAATCTTAAAAGCTGAATCATAAAATCCTCTAAAAAACTACTTGACAACTTTTTGTTGAGTTACCAGATATACTGAAATAAATCAGCTATAAGCATCGATTCATAACTATATTCTAATCTATATGCTAAGGTTTAACAAGTGATTTGCAGGTTGTGAAATAACTCAGGACTAAGCTAAACTGACTGAGGCACGTAGTACAGCATATTATACCGGTGCTACGTTTAAGAGGTAAACTTGTTTAATTTGCTGGCCAAATGATTCAAAGTAAGTAAATAAAAAAACACTACAGAAATGTTATTCAGTGCTATTTACCTGTGATATATGTGTTGTTTGTGGACTTACATGTAAAGTAATGCTA